GACAGTTTAGCTTGTTGGGGCACTGCGGTATTCAAGCCCGACCACCACAACAAGGTAGGAGCTGTTGGCCGGCTCACAAATACGTTTAAGTCGGATGATTTGCGGGTGGAATGTATTACTTGAATCAATAAAAGTAATACTCACTATTTTTGATTGAAGCACCTTACATCTTCTTTCGGTAGTGATAAAATGGTACCAAACGAATGCAGTTTGTTAGGTGGTTGGAAACACTTGGTTGGAAGCTTTCATCCCTTACTGATACCTGTCAGTAAGACGTATCTACAACCTCTAAGGTACTGATACGGCAGTCAGTCCTACAGGAGGTCAACTATAGGCTCGAATAGCTTAATGGTGACGTCTTTGAATGCAGTACTGGGTGGTACAGGTTAGAATCTCTAAAGGGAGATCACTTACTTCGAAGTTGGAGATACGCTTTACCAATGAGTGCCAAAAGGCTCGAAAACTAGGCTTAGGATTTCTTACCGTATGTTTCAACCATCTAACAATTCAAAAGTGCACCGAGATGGTAAGTCACCTAGGTTTGTGACCACTATGTAAAATTACCTGTCACAATTTAGTCAGAATTAACACTATGAGTTATACGCATGACATTTTTCATACCGCAGTAACCACTCAGTGTACAGATTAAGTGTGTCTACATAAATATTAAGTGACTATTTATCAGATGACACAGATCAGTATTTACTAACAGTTTATATTTAATCAGTCATAATCAATATATTACGAAATAATACCAATTTAAGTCGAAAAGAGAGATGTCTGAATTTTTTGTCGAGATCGTAGACATACAACATGGTGTTATTTTTGGTTGTTGGTGACGAGCAGTGGGTGCTACTTCTAGTTTTTCGCCTTTTTGGCAAATACATTTTATTCACAATAATGGTAATTCTAACTGAGGCTAAAAAGAGATGTAAATCATTTCAGGATACTCATAGTCATTTAAGTTTTCGGCTATTTTTCTATTGGTTATGTTATAAAAACTAATCGTTGATTACAACCAATAGCGTGAGTTGGTTATTAGTTCAACTAATTGCAAACAGCTGCTTATGCACAATAGTTAAGAGGAAGAAGGTTTGATGACTGAATTGCAAACAAGGTTTGCGTACTACTTCTATTATTACTACTGCTTTCTCTTTGCTTAGTAAAAATACAGGCATTTGTATCAAACCAAATACTGGAGTTGAACTTTCAACATCGATTAGATTACCCAAAAATCAGCTTTCTTATAGAACTAATTTTTCCGTGCTTGATTCGATACTGTCGATAGACTTCAATAATTTATAATTCTATTTGACTAACTGACACATTAATTTGTGTCAGGTATTTAAAAAAAGATTAAAAATCAGTATTATATAACAGAATCAATATCTGTATTGTAAAATACTCTAAAGGCGAATCTATGCACTGGCCTAATTAATCGATGCAGTTCAGATATAATGACATATGGAACGTAAATGAATTCTACTCATAGAATCTAACAGTCATTATAAGAAAAATCTGATAAACCCTTGTGTAACTAATACTTGGCTATTCGGAATTTATTTTTCCGTAGAATTCAGTTATAACAACAGATACATTGTACGCCTTACTACTTAAATGTAAAAACTGTGTAAATTCATTAATTGGAGAAACTACAGACTACATTTTACATCTTTTAATACTTTTTGCACACAGGATAGCCTCACTGTCCGATATCTAGACATAATTAATTTTGTGCAGCCTCGAAATTAATTTATTCGAAATTGACAATAGAGGAGCACACAAGATATATATATATATATATATATATATATATATATAATATATATATATATATATAATTTAAACACAATGGTGTGTGAATGGCTAATTCTGATGATAAAAGTAAAATCGTAGTGCATTTTTGTGCATATCTTTGGTAGTATTGTTTACGCATAACTAAGGCTCCAGGGGTGGGGAGAATAATTTATTTTTCATTCATCCTAAATATATACTACTTATACTTTCGTTATCTGTAAAGGTCAATAACAGTTGTTATTCGTATTTCAGTGAAATAAATAATTTTGAATTTTACTACTAATAATAATTAAATTGTGTAAGTGTCCACTTCGTGTATTATTTGTCATCATGGTTATTCGTCTGAATTCAATGGGAACGTTAACTGTTCACATTGTCACAATAAGAATAATGGCTGTATGAGATGGATATACAGGCATTTAATAATTAATATAGTCATTACATGTACTAATATCTAAATTAAGCTGAAAATGGGTTATGTTATTAAATTGTTTGTTCCACTGGTTGCACGTCATATAAAAACATAAAAATATAGTATTCATACTAAGTAACTTTTTCTCAAGTATAAGACATTTTTTCATCATTCATATACATATATTTTGTGCATCGATGGTTCAACGGCAGAATTCTGGTCAACCACGTACATGGTCCATGTCTGATTCCCGGTCGATACACTCACTCCCGAACCTCGCCTAGTTTACTAGCCTGATAATTAGTCCGGAAAAGAATGAAATTTGAGCGTCAGGCTAGCAGCCTTACCGCGTAAAATTACAGTAACACCAGACCTATCTTTCACTCAGACCATAAAGGAATGAAGGGGAGTAGGAAAACATGTATGTGTCGGAAAAACTATTGTTATTAAAAAATATTCATTTCGATAAGTTTATCAAGCTAAGGTGTGCGCGTGAAATTTAATTTCAAGTATGTGGGATGTACATGGTGTTTTATTCATTTGTAAACTGTATCCGTATAACATGGGCACCGATGAACACACCAGACCAATCAATGTTATGCTAAGGTGACTGGAAGAGAATATATAAAGGGAGTAGTAGAATAACAAGACTACTAGATGGATAATCTCATTATCAACAACAACAAAGCTTTCATGACTTTGTATTGCTATGAATAGCAGAAAAAGCAAAGAAGCGATAATGCGATCTATATTGATTTCCATTCTGATCTGAAACCAGTGTTTCAGGATGACTACGTTCATTCCTAAACAGCCTTAATCTCATCCAACAATACTGCTGAGTATCAGAATACTTAGCATGATACCACTAGCAAGTAAAAGTAATTCCGCACAAACGGTAATGACCAAACATGTAAAAGCACTGGACGTTCTTGGCCGTAACAGACCAGGTTTCAGTATTGTAAAACAAAATTTTATCCATCGAAGTATTCGAAAAGTCAATGTTTTACAACCAGATATATATACATAAGCTCTAGCATTGCAAATATGATTAGAAGTTTCATTCATCATATTACAGGCAACCACACAGTTACTTAGAAACACATGATTGTCTCTGACTTTTAAGAGTTCACTTGCCAGAATGAGTGCGGACCCATATACCTACAATTCTGAAATCATATTTTATATTTTATTAGTGTCAGGGCATGCATTAGTGTAAACATGTTCGCTTCATGATTGGCTTTGTTGTGTGGCACATAGGAATATTTTTGTTTTCACTATCACTGAAGCTTATTTTTCCTTAAAAAAGACAAATTACTCCCCTTGTAGACCTTCTATTGTCTTCTTTTTATTATACGAGAAATGGTTATTTTTCTACCACTGACATTCATTCCGATAATGATAATAATAACAAGCAAGCGGTTGTATGTTGTCAATTTCATGATGCTGTTATATATTAATGTTTAGTATTTTTCCGTCTAGCACAAAATTTTCAATAGTCGATCTTTTTGCGACTTGATCACGGATTGATATCACTTACAGAACCACTGAAAACCAGCACCGGAGAACTGGACAGTTGTTTCATCCTAGTTTGGGAATCACCAGCGGTACGCATCCACTGAGGTTCGAACCGAGGACCTTCCGGTTACAAAACTAATCCTTACAAGCCAACTATAGAAAATTAATCTGGTGCTCGCTAGTGACTTGCTACAAGACGTAGTTTCCTGAGGTTCTAGTGAGAAGTCGTGACCAGTGAGGTCCATCCAGTCAAGTGTGAAGATGGATGCCCCACCAACGACATTGGTTGGGTTCATGCTAAATCACGAATTGGTAGAAGTCAGAATTCATGAACCATTGAATTGGGTCCCAGTGGCTGAATGGTGTACGAGAGCTTGCTTTGTAACCAGAAGGTCGTGGGTTCGAACCCCAGTGGGTGCATACCGCTGATGATTCCCTGACTGGGATGAAACAGCTGTCCGGTTCTCCAGTGCTGGCTTTCAATGGTTCTCTAAATGATATCAATCCGTGATGAACTCGTAGAAACAAAACTAATCCTTCCAAACCAACTATAGAAAATAATTGATTTTCCTCTTTTTAAGACAATATTTCACTAGTAAGCCAATGAACAAATTTTAAACTAATTACAGTTAGCAGTAGCGATAATGATAATAATAATAATCCTAATTAATACAGGATTCAAGACCAGTATCACTACACCCTGACGGAATGTTTAAGGATGATTCTGTAGTGATTTTTAGAATTGATTACGTCATATACACAGTCGTACATTAAGCTACACTCAAAGCATAAACTTACAACAGTACCATTAGAATTAAATATGAGAAGGATAATTTTTTATTTTGCTTGAGCACAGATTCATTCCTTTTTAGTATCATTATTATTTGATCAGTTTGTGATTCGGTTTGATTTAACTGAGAATACTATCAACTCAATGCATGAATTATAGAAGAATCAATTAATTATGTGAATTGCTTCTCATCATTTGACCGTTTATATTTCTTTCTTTGCTCACAACCATACTATATTTTATTTATAGTCCTTTTTAGTTGTATTTTGGGATTTTTATTTTTTTTTTGTCATTTTGATGAGTGTTTGTGATTTCACCTGAGTTGTTGAGTAATTTTTCATCTATCTTTGAATTTTTATTATGATTGTTATTATTGTCATTCTAACCCTAATAATTTGTGCATGCACTTTACTCATTAATAATTTAAAAATGAAAGAATTATTACTTTATTATCGCTTTTAAAATAATTCTTTCTTCGTTTTATAGGTCTATGTTAGGCGATAGTCGTTCACTAGTACTAAGGGTGCATTTACCCAAAGCTGGAATTACTAAAACAACTGCATTCGATGCTCAAATGACTGTAGGTCAAGCTTGTGAACGTATTCGAGCGCAAGTACGTGAATTTGATCAAACAGATGGTGGTGAGTGTGTATTATTTAATCATTTAATGTGATATTTACCTTTCATTATGTCTTATGTCATTATGTTTATTCATTCAAACTTTAGAATTTGTAATAATGTATTCATTTGAACAAAGCAAGAACAACAATTGTACCTCGATAATACGAGCTCATCTTTTATTATTTCGAGGATTCTTCTCAACTGGTTACAACCTGAACGTTAAAAAATATTTATTATTAGGCATATCACACTGTGAAACAGTATTGTTGTCTTAGTTTGGTATCCTTCAGCAGTACGCACCTATGACCTCACTGGCGATCTAACCCAGAATCTTTGCGTTACGAAGCAAGCTCGTTGATCTTTCAGCCACTGGGAGGCAATCCAATGGCCCATCAGTTATGACTCCTGTCAGTTCGCGATTATCGACGCCATCGCTAGCCAATCTTCTCACACTCAATCTAGTGGATCCCACCGGTAACGACTTCTCACTCGAACTACAAGCAACTTCGTTCTGGGATCATTCACCAGTGAGAATCAGACTAATTTTCCAAGTGTTTGTTTGCAGAGATTTGACTGGTTTCAAGTTTTAAGACGGGCCTGATGTCTTGAATCGACAGAAATCAGATTGGATTCCATCATAGTAGCTAACTGGTCAACGAGCTTGCTTCGTGACCTGAAGGTTCTGAGTGCGACTGCTGCGTACTGCTGAAGAGTCCCAAACTAAAACGAAACAGCCATCCAGTACTCACTGTTTTTCAGTGGTTCTTTCTCTTTCTCTGGCTTATATCAATCCATGATCAAACTTGAAACGAATGACATTTCAAATATAATTCGTTTTTTATAATGACTACTGTGAAGCTTCATTTGTGTAGCTGTAACTCTTTTTCTTCCTCTTCGTTTTATTGTTTGTTTCTTATTGGAAGCGAATAGATTTTCGCCGATACTGGGAATATATAATTATGTATTTATTTGTGGGCTTGCTTGTGTGGGTGAATGACTGATTGTAAATGCTGCAGCTGTTTTATTCCATTTATTTATCTTAATAAATTCTACCTAAATTGCTGATTGTAGTCAAGTTGACATTTTTCGTCGTTCCTTTACCTTCCGAGTGGGACACACCACTTCAAGCTTTGCCGTAGAAGTTCCAGTAGCGGTAGTGAGGTTGCTAGCCTCATGTCCAGCTTTCCCTCATAACCCGGTTCATTTCCGGCTAATGGAGGTTTGAGAGTGAGTCAGTCGGCAATCAAACCTGGAATATCTAGGTGGTTGGAGAACACCCTACCACTGAATGACCAGTGCACCAAGTTTACCTACTGTTTTACTAATGACTGACACGATTACAGTCTTCTTTGTTAGTGCACATTGATATCATATTATCATATTCCCAAAATGAATAGTTACTTCTATTCATTTAAAACTTGTTTATAAGATAACAAATATTTGAATAAATTAGTTCCTTTTATGAATTTCAATGAAACAGTAAGAAGGCATAATTTGTCTGAAACATGTACTCGCATAATAGATTTCAGATATTCAGATCACACACGACTTGTATAAAGTAACAAAGTATAAAGGGTAAAAATTTACTCAGTATACGTTAGAATGTTTGGGGGTCAAGAGCACAGATATGAAATAAGAAAAAAATAGGTGAAAATATTATAAATAAACCTTGGTCTTAAAACTGGATATGATTTTTGAAGACAAAAAAGGTCTGAGTCTTTTTTATAGCTAAGGCTTCATCGAATTCGAGTATATGATCCAACGCCAACTTTATGGCCTGCATCTATGGATGGGCTTTGCCATTGGTGACATTGGGCATCTGTTTCCAGGGTCAAGTAAATTAGGCTACTTCATTTGTTCTTGCAGCCAATTAGGGATTTGTTTTGTAGCCTTGACCTACAAACATCGATTCATCATCCCTATGTGTTGCGCAAATGCATTACAATCTCAGAATAATTACTTTTTCTTACTGATTTCATATGAACTATGATCAAGACTTGATCGAACTGGGAGCTGAGTGAGATATAGACATATGTAGAGATTATATTTGTAATATCTCAATGAAATTGAAATGAGTAATTCCAAGATAAGGTTTTGTGTGGAAATCTGATCCGATCTTCTTCAGGGAAATTAATCGAAATTAAAATAACAGAGGTTTATATATGAAAAAAGACATCTCTCCTTTTTAAAACATGTTGTCCAAATCATATAAATCATGAAAGAGGCATCGAAATATAATAAACAAAATTGCAACAACTGTGATCAAAATTTGACCTCAAATTTACAAATATTAGTCTATTTTTGTTAAACGTTGTTAACAGGGTGTACTTTTCATCAGAATTTCAGTGATTACGTTCGACTAAAGTCCATGGTCGTAGATAACTGAATATGAGGAAATATGTATGTATATTTGGTATAAAAGTGTGTCTGTGTGTGTGCATGTATATAAGGGGAAACAATTGTACATCATTTCTTATCATCCCCATAAGAAGGTGAAGACAATCGGGAATTTAGATTAAGTATGATTAATTAGTGATGCATATCCATTATTAATGTATTAATCAGGATTTGCGATGCATCAGCTAGCATCACACCTTCACATCCGTTCGGGATTCACTCATATATGCAGGGCTTCTTCAGTCAGCCTTTCTTTATGAGAACCAAAACCTTTCTGTAGCACCTTAGTCCTATCAAAGACACTCTTGTGTCCCGTTTCCATGGAGTGCAGTGTAATCGCCAATATGTTTTCTGGCTCCTTCAAGTCTGCAGAGGTCTTTGGAACCACATTTAGACATTGTTTATGCTCATTCACTCTCATAGTTACCTGTGTGGAAGTTTCTCCTACATATACGGCGTCACAGTGCTCACAACTGATCTGGTACACACAATTCTGCTGGTTGTCTTCTTTAACCTTCACCAGTGATGAGTGTAAGGTGTTAGTTGCACGGAAATGCATTCTTATGTCATGATTGTTAAGGATTCGCTTTAACTCATCCGATGCTTTTTTTTGCTGTAAGGAATCACGACTGTACTAACCCAATTCTTGGCAACAGGTTTCGATTTATCCTTATCTTCACATTTTCAATATCTTTTTATGAAGGCTTTAGAATAATTATTTGACTCAAGAGTGGATTGAATTAATTTTAGTTCCTTTTTGATCTCTTCCTCCTCAGTAAGTAGACGTTTGGATATGTTAATCAGATTTCTGCCCACTTTTTTTTGGTAAACTAGAGCATCTCATAATTGTATTTGTTTCTTAAGTGTCCATTAAAAACAGATTGGCAACTAGCGAAGAAAACGGTGATCCTATTTCAATGCCTCCTGTTTTATGATAAAGATTCCTTCTAAATGTAAATAGCGTCGAGTGTAGACACAGTTCAAATGCCTGGGTACTGGTTAATTTAACCAATATTTACCATCATTAGAAATCACTATTTTGTATGTGCAAGTATTGTTCAGTTTGCTTTTAAGACATTTAAATCATATTCATTATCAGTCTTATTTACATTGTTGCATTATTACTATTATTATTGTTAAAAGTTGGTTTATCACGTGACATGTAATATAAATGTCCTGTATATATGTGGTTTAACTTCATCTATTTTTACTCTTCCGTTTTTTTGAAAAATATTATTATAGTACAACTATTCATTAATAGTTAATCTATATCACATGTGGCTTGTTTAAAGTGTTGGCTTCATATGATTTTCTGTAACATCTGCTTTCACTTTCTTTTCCAACTTGGTAACGCTTACAGTGTGATAGATATCATTTTTTTAATGTGAATTTATCTGCCTAGCTCTATTTTTATGCACTAGTACGATAAGGTCAGTAAGAATGAGGTTAGAAGTAGAGTGATGGATAAGGAAGGAAAGTTAACCAATCAAATTGCGAAGCTACATCGATCGTGATGGCCATGATATGTACGACGTACGCTGAAGTATTGACTTCTTTGGAAGGCATTGGTAGTTGATACACGAATAGCCTGATTTTGAGGTGGTTGTGTTCTCGGAGCTGGATAGTTAATTTGCGAAGCTTTCATCGCCCTACTAGGCGACATCTTCAGCACATACCTCAATCTGTTGAAGTGAGCTTTTAGACTTCCCCACGAGTTTATTAATCATCTCTCCTGGTGACCTTGGACGTGATTGGTTGTTTTTGTGTGTTTTCACACCTTCTAGGTTACTTGTATTGGGACTGATTGTTTCTTTGACTTGAACTTTGTGTGAGGTTTCTTTCTTATTGGTAATAAAATTATCGAAACAATCAGTTCCAATGCAAGTAACCTAGAAGGTGTGAAAACACACAAAAACAACCAATCACGTCCAAGGTCACCAGGAGAGATGATTAATAAACTCGTGGGGAAATCTAAAAGCTCACTTCAACAGATTGAAGTATGCGCTGAAGATGTCGCCCTAGTAGGGCGATGAAAGCTTCGCAAATTAACTATCCAGCTCCGAGAACACAACCACCTCAAAATCATCCACCTGAGTTACAAATCTTCTCTATCATACGAATAGCCTGGGAAAAAGTTTATGGGTGATCAGACATAAACATACAATCTATCTATGAATTCATATAAAAGAAAAGACGTTCAGCAAAGAGTTACTCTTTCAAGCGATATAATTCTTAAGCTGAACAATCACAAATATGTGGTAAATTTTCTTAATAACAAACGGAATATTTTCAAAGATATGTCATTAGAATTGTAAATTTTAGATAGCAAATTACGTTATTTAGAAAAATATTTAGATAGAAACTAAAATAAAAAATTAAATAAGTAAATTGTATGACACAATATAATTGATGGGATTGAGTAGAATTCAATTAAAATTGAACGAGAGTCAAGCTTAGAGCAGTGATATTAACGGGTGTAAATTTAATAAGGGTGAAGGAAGAAAATAATACAACTAAAAAACAAAACTTACTTAACCGGTGGTAAGAGAGATCAGGTCTACTGTAGACTTGGTGACTGAAAAACTTCTGTATACAGAGTTCGGGATTTAATATATGAGTTGCC